TGTAATTCATTGTTTTAGAAAGATTAGATTTGATTTAGAAAGATTATATTAGATATTTTTGGGCTTTACCTTGAGATGCAAGTTAACCTAAATCTATAAATAGGGAGGAATCCTTTTCATTGTAATCATCAAGTTTGATAATCACAATTTTGCAGTTGCAAAGTGATAATAAAACTCCACAATTGTGGACAAAGAGCTACTCTGCAGTTCAAACTCATGTTCTTTAAACGTGTTCTTTTTTTGTTTATTCTCATTGCGTGAGTGGAAACAATCTTGAGATCAAGATTTAGTAGGAATTCTCCATAGGTTGTGGTTGAATTCCAACATTTGGTATCTAAAGCTCCGATTTTGATTCAAGAGAATAACAACTGCGATGATGATGAATCACCCGAACGGTCACTTTTCAGCAAATCTTCCAATTCTCAAGAAAGATAATTATGAGAATTGGTGCAAGCAAATTAAAATGGTTTTCTGTTACCAAGATCTTCGGGATCTTGTGAAGGAGCGATTATCACCGCTTGCAGAAACTACGACAGATCAAGAGAAAGCATCATATAAAGAATTGAAGAAGAAAGATTATAAAGCTCTCTTTATAATCTATCAATGCATTGATCCAGATAACTTTGAAAAGGCCAGTGATGTAGAATCATCAAAATAAGCTTGAGAGATTCTTGAAAATTCGTTTGGAGGCGCAGAGAAGGTGAAAGAGGTGAGGTTACAAACTCACAAAAGGACTTATGAATTACTTCAGATGGAAGACAATGAAAGTATAACAGATTTCTTCACCAGAGTTACAAAGCCGGTGAATCAAATCAAGGTATGTGGAAAAGTTTTGACATCAAGATCAGTTGTGTCAAAGATCTTTAGGTCATTGGCTCCAAAATTCAACAACGTGGTAGTAGCCATAGAAGAGTCGAAAGACTTGTCAGTATTGACGAAGGAAGAGCTTAAAGGGAAGCTTGAGTCTCATGAACAAAGGATAACTGAAACAGCTGCAAGAAATTCGAAGAGTGATATGGCTTTGCAGGCACAGTCAGAAAAAGAAAGGACAGGCAAAGGAAGCTGGAATGACAACAAAGGTAGATGAGGCTACACCAATACGACTGGTCAAAATCAACATTAAGAAAACTGGTCGAATCAGAGAAAATCCTAAAACCAAGGCAACCAAAGAGGTGGTGCTGCAGGTAGAGCAAGAGGTGGTGGTCGAAAGCTTGACAAAAGTCACATTCAGTGTTTCAATTGTCAGAAGTATGATCACTATTTTAGTGATTGTCCAAAAAAGAAGAAGAATCAGGAAACTGATGCAAAGATGGAGAAACATGAAGAAGAAGAAGAGATGTTGCTAATGGTCATAATAAGAGAGATTCCTAGACCAGTGGTACTTGGACTCAGGATGCTCATCACACATGATAGGAAGGAAAGATTGATTTGTCAACATGAAATCCTCGTCGAAGAACATGGTGAAGTTTGCAAATGACAACACTCTAGCAGCTAAAGGTGTTGGTGATGTTCAAATCATGAGGAAGGATGACAATAAATCAATAATTTCCAATGTGTTATACATACCAGGCATAAAAAGTAACATGCTCAATATAGGACAACTTGTCGAAAGGAACTACAAGGTTGTTATCGAAGACAAGATGATGAGAGTTCTTGACGCAGGTGGTAGGTTGATCTTGAAGGCTCAAATGTCTCAGAATAGGATCTTTAAGATTGAACTTAATGTGATGGAGTACAAGTGCCTAGAAACTGCAACCAACAGAGATGAGTGGTTATGGCATTTCCGACTAGGCCATCTCAACTTCAATGACATCAGAGAGTTAAAGAGAAGAAACATAGCTTCAGGATTACCTGAAATCGACATTCCAAGTAAAGTCTGTGAAGAGTGTGTTCAGTCGAAAAAAAACAAGAGTAGCTTCAACAAGGATGCAGGAAGGAAGTCGAAGGCAGTTTAGGAAGTCATATACTCTGATGTATGTGGTCCAATCCAGGTGGATTCGATTGCAGACAACAAATACTTTGTCATGTTCTTAAATGATTACAGTTGAAATTCGTGGACTTACCTCATCAAGAAGAAAAGTGATGTGATCGAGGCATTTTCCAGATTCAAATCTATGGTCGAAAGACAGAGTGGTCAAAAGCTGAAAATTCTGAGGACTGATGGTGGCGGAGAGTATGTGTCGAAAGAGTTTGATGCATTATGTGAAAAAGAAGAGATTATGCATGAGGTAGTGCCACCCTATACTCCACAGCAAAATGGAATTGCAGAGAGAAAGAACATAACCATCATGAACATGGTGATAAGTATGTTGTATGGAAAGCATCAACCCAAAGAATTATGGGGAAAAACGGTTTCGACAGCAACATACATATTAAACAGATGTCCGACGAAGAAGGTTGAAGGAATCATACCAAAAGAATGTCGGTATGGTGTTAAGCCTAGCCTTATCCACTTGAAGGTGTTTGGATCTATAGCACATAGACATCTGCCAGATTAATTGAGAAGGAAGCTTGATGACAAGTCGAATCAGATGATCTTGATAGGATATCATTCGATTGAAGGTTACAAGTTGTTCGACCCAGTGAATAGGCAGGTAGTGATCAGCATGGACGCGATCATAGATGAGCTTAAAGAATGAGATTGGACTGAGAATGTCGAGAAGGATTCAATGATAATCTCTTGTGAAGAACCAGTCACTGAAGTCGAAAGAGATGTTCGACAGGAACAAGTCAGGGATGAAGCAGGCCCAAGAATTCGATGAACAAGACACATTCCTGTAAGGTTGCAAGAATGTGTGATTACATCAGATGATGTGGTCGATGAAGAGTGTGAGCTGGTACATTATGCTTTCTACGCAGATGTCGAACCAGTCAATGCAGTTGAGGAATTGAAAGATTCGAAGTGGGTAAAAGCGATGAATGATGAGTTAGACTCCATCGAAGTCAACAACACTTGGGCACTTATCCAATTGCTTCAAGGCAAGAAGGAAATTGATGTGAAGTGGGTTTACAAGGTGAAGGTGAATCCTAAAGGAGAAGTAACTCAACACAAGGCGAGACTTGTGGCGAAAGGATATCTTCAGAAGGAAGGAATCGACTTCGACGAAGTTTTTGCACCTGTTTCTATGATCGAAACAATCAGGTTGGTTGTTGGTCTAGCAAACATGAACAATTGGCACACATGTCAGATGGATGTCAAATATGCATTCTTGAATGACCCCTTAGACGAAGAAGTTTATGTTGCACAAGCAGCTGAGTTTGTGAAACAAGGTGAAGAGAGAAAGATGTACAGGCTGCATAAAACCCTGTATAGACTTAAGCAAACTCTAATAGCTTAGAATAAGAAGATCGACGATTTTTTAAGAGAGAAGAAATTTATGAAGTGCACAACTGAGCATGGAGTCTATGTAAGGAGAAGCAATAATGAATTGGTTATACTATGTCTCTATGTCGATGACCTGTTGATAACAGGAAGTTGCAAGAAGGAGATCGAAGATTTCAAACATGGTCTAAGTGAGGAGTTTGAAATGTCAGACTTGGAAAATCTCTCATATTCCCTGGCATCGAATTCTACAAGACTAGTAGTGGTTTGATAATGCACCAAAGAAGATATGCAGACGAAATACTCAAGAGATTTGAGATGCAAAATTGCAACCCAACTTCGACTCCAGTTGAGACCAGATTGCAACTGTCGAAGGATTAAGATAAAGATGATGTCGACCCAACCCAATATAGAAGATTTATTGAGTCACTTCGATACCTTTGTCACACAAGGTCTGACTTAGCATACAATATGAGTATGATAAGTAGATTCATGCAGAAGGTAAAGGTATCACACTTAGCAGCGATGAAAAATGGAAACGTGTTTTTGTTTTTATTCATTATCATTGCGTGAGTGGAAACAATCTTGAGATTAAGATTGAATAAAAATTCTCCATAAATTGTGGTTGAATTCCAACCGTCTATTCCCAAGATGCCGCTTGAGTCTTAACCTATTCAAGTGTTCCTCGACAAATTTCATACAGGGCAGAGACATAAGCCCTCAATCTAAATCTCACTTTAATATACTAAATAGCTAGTTTAATATAGAAGGCAGGGGGGAAATAGAGCCAGATTGTACAGTCAAAACAATGATTAATAGATTTAATACAACATCTAGTACCAAGTTTATTTTTTAAAATTATATGTTCTCTATGCTTGAATTGCCCCTCTTAGTAAGAGAAATAGAAAATAACAAGAAAATGAGTGTTGTACTTGTATCTGAAAGAGTTATGATTTATAATTACCATCAAATTACACACACAAAATGCATCAGGGCCCAACATACTGGAGGTGGTGGGATTTCAACACTAGTTAACTAAACAGATCATTCATCTATCTTGTACTCGAAGAGAATAAATACATAATAGATAGAAATTTTCAGAGGTAATATTGCTTTTGCAGTAATATGGAATCAATCTGACTTTAGTCTCTGCAAAGATGTCTAGAAATTGATTTTTCAAGCAATCAACATGATATTGAGATCAACACTAACCCGTCAACAAACCATATAACCGAATCAGGAAGTGACAGGTGTTTAAACAATGCTGACCTGAGCATATATTAAAATAAGTTTCAGACTAAGAATCACACATCAGTATATGATTGTTGCCTACTCTAAAAAAATTTCCCATGCTTTTTCCTACCCATCCAAACGACTTCGAATCACATTTTCTATTTATTTCTCTCTCAAAATCCATCCATTCGAACAACGGGTTAGACACTGAGATATTCAATGAATATTTATTTACTATGGAAAAATATGAGATTCCAATTGAGGGCATCAGAGCAAGGTCTTCAATTGCCTGATACACCCTTATTCCTATTTTTCCTCTATTTTTAAAGTTTCAATATTGGCCCAAGAAAAAGAGACATGGGCTAGGACTAGGAGGCCATACAATACACGGTCTCCTTTATAAAAATAATACAAAATGAAGTGTTTACTTCTTGTGCATTCCTCCTCATTCACAAGCCTTCTCCCAATCATCTACTACATCATAAACTTCTGAAGTGTCCAAGGCTTTTCCATGCTGGTGTTCTAGATTTGAACCACCATCAAGAGATTCCAACTTCGCCATAGCACTACTCTGTGTTTGTTTCATACAAGTGTCAGCTTTAACAGAAACAGCAGAAGATGAACTTGACTGTGTTTGTTTCATACAAGTGTCAGCTTTAACAGAAACAGCAGAAGATGAACTTGAAGACCATTTTTTATCTAAGACACTCCAAGGATTTGCCGAAGTAGATATCGGCACTTCTTTCTTCCAAATAGATGACTGGATATTCGCAGAACCAGTAGCCCCCTCCTCATCATCCCAAGATTCTTCCCTCCAACTTGGTTCTATAACAATAGCCTTTGTCAAGAGATTCTCTTTCCATGCTGTCAGCGCCCCTCCTTTCACTGTCCCAGCTCCTCCCCAGGCATTTGTAACTGTAGATACTACAGACGCCCCTCCCTTTGGAACAACCACAATCGCTCCCTGATAAACACTTCCATGATCTAATCTTCTCATTGCAGCTGCAGCTCGTGCAGGATCATTAAAAACAGCCAATGCATTTTTGTCATCTAACCAAACAAGTTCGCACTCGCCACCAAATCTCAACACCAATGCACTGATATCTGCCTGTCTTGGTAAGTCTGGAAATGAGACGACAAATCGAGGATCCATGTCCACCAAAGGATCAAATGCAGGAGGAAGGGGCGCATGTGTGGTTGTAGTACCCTTAATCCCTAGCACGCGTGATGGAGCTTTTGATTTTTTGACAACATGAACAACTATAAATTGCTTTGGCTCCCGACCTGCTGCATTTATTGCAAGCTTCCATCTCTCAGCAATCACCTCACTGCATCTCTCTTATCCTTTAGCATAGGACAGAAAACATGGGCTTTTAGACCACGTGTAGTTCCACTGCTCTTGCCAAGTACTAAAAACTTGCATCTCTCCTCAATGGATAAAACCCATTTACTATCACGCCTCAATAAATCACCAAGTAATTCAGACCGAGCAACAGAATTATCCCCGAATTGGAAAGAATCTAAATTTGGAGCGGTAATTTCAAAAGCATTTGCAAGTACCTTTTTACGCTCCAGCTTAGCACACTCATCATTACACATCAGTTTCCGTTGTCCCAGGGAAACTCTTTTGCCATTTTCATCCAATGGTTGAAGTGGCATAGGCAACTTTTGAACAATCGTGGTTTCATGTATAACATCAGCACCACTGCCACCAGCATCACAAGGGACGTTAGTTGTTATTCGGCCACAAGTACAAGTGATTGTGACAGGGAATTCACATCTTCTATCTGGACATGGAGATGAAGGGTGACAAGGAGCTGTACATGTATGCCGGCAGTCTCTCCTTGGAGCGCCACATGTTTGCCCACAAGAAATTCGAATACCTTGCACAGCAGGCTGATTATCACACGGCGGGGAGTGACACGTTCTCCCACAAGCATGTAAACCACACTGTCTAGTCTTCCCACAGAGCTTATTACATCGAATATCCTTTGAGGAACAAGGTATGTTCCTAAGAACTACATGTCCGCCAGTACATTCTCTTGCAACAGGCACCGAACAAGGAGGGCAATCTCCATAATGACAGCTATGGGAGGCTGGGTGGCCACAAGGCTGAGGAACTGAACATGGAAGCTGACACGAGGGCAGTGGTGTACCACATGGCAATGGAGGAGGGATTGAAGTCCCGCCACAGGCACATGTCAAATCAGTGAATATAGTTTGAAGACAAGGCGGACAATGACCACTGTGACACAGTGAATCACACGCATGCTGCCCACAGCGTAATTTCTTTCCACATGAAATGGAACAGAGGTGTAGATCCCAATCTGCATTTAGAATATTATTTGAATTAGAAAATGGACAACACCGTTCACTACAACGATGCCTTCCACAGTTCTTTTTCTTCTCACAAGGCTTTTCACATGTAAACTTGTCATCCTCCGTTCTTGTCTTATAGCACTCCACCATTCTGGAAGTAGAGCCACACCCACACTTCTGGGAGACTAAAACCAAACAAGGAGAGCAATCCCCATCATGGCATGTCTCGTTACAACGATGCATCCCGCAGGCAAGGGACTTGCCACATAGTTTTGAACAGGTAGGAATTGGGTCTAAACAAGTCTGCCGTTCCTCTTTCAGTCTGGTTTTCCCGCAGCAACACATCTTAACACGGGCTGGCAACAACTCACACTCAGCACAGCTGCCTGGATGACAGGTCTCCATACAGACATGATTGCCACAGTTTAGTTTCTTTCCACAAGTGGAAGCACAAGAAAAAACTCCATCTTCGGCTTTGATTTCACCCTTCACAGCCATGTCCCCACAAAGAATAGCCTCAGACTTTTTACTGCAAAAGCAAGAGGCATCCATTGGAAGACGGCAAGGATCACAGGGACCAATATGACAAATTTGTTGACAGCGATGGCGCCCACATGGAAGAAGCTTTTGACATTGTTGGGCACAGGTTAGAAGAGATTGGGGGTCAGAACAGCGGGCCGTAATAGTAATCTTGCCACAAGGGCACAAACGGGAAGGAGCAAATGCTTTGCAAGGAGGACATGGACCAGGATGGCATTGCAAGACACAAACGTGAGGGCAAAGATCCCCCGTGTTGTGAAGAGGCTTCCCACACGGTTCTCCACATGAATGCGGTGTGAGATAGAAATCAGATGGAGGGTGAAACCTCTTCCCACAGAAGCAGAGGTATCTAATGGAATTGGATGAGGTTTGTTGCACAGCTTGACAACCGGGGCATCGCCAATGATTAGTATTGTCAGCAGATGCAGATGAAGTTGGTGCACGAGCCCACTTGTTTGTACAATTGAGGTGAAAGATAGAGTAGCAACTGGAGCATGACCAGATAGGGGCAGACCTCCGGACGGTGTCATAGCAAATCATGCATTCGACAGTGCCTTTGGCGAGCTTGTCCTGAATCTCTTGCAGCAGCTGAGGTAAATTTAAATCGGAATCCCGGCGGGTACTCCTGGTTGGATTGGATGCAGCATTGTGGTGGTGGGTACTCCTGGTTGGATTGGATGCAGCATTGTGGTGGTGGATAGTGGAGGATGATCTAGGAATCCATTTGTCCCTCCGTTGCAAGTTCATAAGTGGGAGTGATTGTTGTGCAACTGAAATAGTTAAATTAAGAAATGAGTAAGAAACAAGAAAAGAAGAAGCCTAATGTAATAGTATTAATGAATTTATGATAAATAACAAGAGGGAATTGAAGAAAAATAAAAGACCTGATTGGGAAGTGGGAAGAATATTGTTAGTTGTTGAGTTGGGTGTGAGAGAAAGAAGAGAACCACCTTCCAGTTGTTTGAGTTGAGAATGAAGTGAAGATGTTGGTTGTTGGTTGAGTTGAGATGGATGTGTTTGAAGTGAAGATGTTGGTTGAGTAGAGAGTTGAGAGATGAGATGGGTGTGTTTGAAGTGAATATGAAATGAAAGATGAGATGGGTGTGTTTGAAGTGAATATGAAATGAAAGATGAGAGGATGGTATGAAATGTATATATAGACACGTACATAAAGTCGGTATAGTTGACTTTGACTATCCTTGGCGCTCAAGCAAAACAACTTGCCGTGCTCCTTACGGATATACTACTATTACTAAGCGTGCTTTCATTATCTCAAAAACCTCTTTCCAAATTAATCCACCTTCCTAAATATTCATGTTTTTAACTTAAATCCCAACATCAACCTATTTAATCAAACTATATTACATCAATATCCATTAAACACGGATAAGGTTAATGAAAAGAAAAAGCTAATTACTTCATGCGATTTCAACAGTATTTTGAGATCAATTAAGTTTCAACGGATATCACAAATAAATTTGATTAAGGTCACCACTAATTTTATTGGTTCTTTAGTACAATATTGTGAACATGATTCTTACATTGACATTTTGAAAATATATGTTGGTGAAGTAAACACATTTATCATTGTTGATTGTGAGATGATGGTATTCAATATTGACTACTCTTTTTGTGTATGGTGGTTGAGACAGCGAATCGGTTGGTCCTACGTTGATTCTAAAAAAATAAAGAGCTCACTTATCGTAGTAAATTGCATCTAGATTAGAGTTTATTTTGACTAAGTTGAATAATAGTTCATTCTTTTGTGTTATGAATCATAGATAAACAAAACACATCATTTTATATTCATCTCTTGTGCATTGTAGTCCATATAAATTATTGGCGCAATCTAGAATGCACAATAGAAATCTTTGTGTTAATAAATTTTAAATCCTACAACCTAACATGCAAAACACCTCGAACATTGTTGAACAGATGACTTCAAACACAAAAGGGAAATGGTGAATTGTGTGGGTTTCAAAAGCCATTAATAAATAAAAATCTTTTAGAAAATCAGAATTTAAAATACAATTGTAATGTTAGAATAAAATTTGTTCGTTTCTTTAAAAGGTTTTGATGACAACAAATTATTGAAAGAACAATATGATTTACTAATGGTTATTCAAGTGTGCAGGATCAAATGACATTAACCTTGATTTCAATAAAGTTAATCACTTAGAAGAACCATTAAAGAAAAGCAAAGTTTTTATGAATATGGAAGATCATATCCAAACTTTCAGACTCAGAGAGAGTCAACCCAAGTCTTTCAGATGTTGAACATAAGCTTACTTGGAATACAAAGATCAACCCAACTCTGAAGATTTGAATCATTTAAAGCAAGCAGAATCTGTTATAAGGAACGACTTTGCATCTTCTGAACATGCTTCATCAACAATTCTGAAGATACTGCTTCAAAGGAATTTGTCTACATCAAGTCATTAACTCTTCAAGTGTTCATCCATACTATTTCTGATCACGACTCTGATGAAGGAAAGACTCAGAACCTGTGAACTCAAGACTCTAAAGTCTTATTCCAACCAGATTTTGAAGACATACTTTAACTTTTTATCATGCTTTAACTAATTCTATAAAAAGCCTTTGAATTAGAAAGATAAGTATAAGAATAACAACAAAAGTGTTCTTTTGTTTTAAGACTGGATCCAATGCTTCATGCAAGTTATTGTATCGAAAAAGCACTTTTGTTTCAAAACTGGATCATTCTTGTTTCGAGTATTTCTTTTTTTACTTTTGGTTAAGATTTGTATGTTCTGATTCTTAGTGCAATAATGATGCATTCTTTCTTATCCTCTGATTGTATAACCAAAGCAATCTCTATGGTAAGTTGAATGTATACGATGAATCTAATGAAAAAGAAATATTAAGCTGAAAACATTGTTTTTGTTTTAATTGTGAACTTCTTAATCAATTGACATAAAAGAAATAATTGTGATTAAAAGGATGTTACAAAAATTAAAATGGGAAAAGAACTTCATTGACTTAAAGGAATGAAAAACTTAATCAAGTGGATTGATTGAGCAAGAATTCTTGTGTCAGGGGATGCAAGCAAGAAGTTTTGGGTCAGTGTGGCTTGAGCCAGTTGGCTTGGTACATGAAATTAGGAGCAATAAGTCTTGAATCTGAGGGGTTTAAGCAAGGAGGCTCGTTTCATGGGACTTGGAGCAAAATTCTTAAGTCTAGAGGACTTAAGTAGGAAGTCTCGGACCGAGGGTCTGAGCAGTGTAAAAGTCTTATGCAGAATGCATAAGCGATTGTAATCATGATTTGGTTTATAGT